CGCGTTTTCGGCCGAAAACGTGCACGTTTGCACTTCCCCGCCAGAGAGAAGCTGAGCCGAGTTAATTTCTCTCTTTTTCACATCTCATGCTCCCTAAAAAGGAAGCTGAACTCTGATAAAGATTAGTCAGGGAGTTAAACATGCAGCAATAAACAGCTACGTAGTCTGCTGTATGAGATTGTCTTTTTAGCCTGCATACATGGTTCCAGTCCCTGTTCTAGTGTTATTTAAAATATGACATACAAGAACAACACGAGTCTTGTGAGACTAATTTATTTATTTAATTGGTACAGAGCAGACTAAAGTATGCAGTCAAAAAATACAGATTAAAATAACTGAAGTATTTTACATCTCCTGCGACACTCAGTTTAAAACACTTTTCTCATTAGTACTATCAGTTCATTCTTTTATGAAAGAATATCTTCAAGAGGTAAGGATGGCAAACTGAGGCTTATAATAAGAAATACAGTGAACTTCCAGTGCAATGCCATGATCATCTGTCCTTTGCGCCATCAGTTGTGGTGGGTTGACCCTGGCCAGCTGGCGAACACCCACCCAGCTGCTCTCTCACTCCCCCTCCTCAACAGGACAAGGGGAGAAAATAAGATTGAGAAGCCCATGGAGTGAGATAAAGATGGGGAGATCACATACCAGTTACAGCCCCAACAAAAATAGACTCGACTCGGGGAAAATTAATTTATTGCCAGTTAAGATAGATTTAGATAGTGAGAAACAAAGACAATCATTACAGTAACACCCTTCCTCCTCCCTCTCCCAAGTACAGCTTCAATTCCTCACTCACAATTCTACCTCACACTCCTCCGCAGCTCCCTCAGGAGATACCCCCCGGCTCCAGGGGGGCTCCCCACAGCCCGCAGCTCTCTCAGGAGATACCCCCCGGCTCCAGGGGGGCTCCCCACAGCCCCAGCTCCCTCAGGACATACCCACCCCCCGGCTCCAGGGGGGCTCTCCAGGGCAATCTCGGGGGTGCTGCTGGAGCCCCTCCCGCCTCCTCCCGCCCTCTCTGCTCTCCCCTTGGGTTTCGCAGAGCTGTTTCTCCCTCTTTCCCCTCAGCCCTCGGTGCCGGGCAGCGTTTTGCCCTTTCTCAGCTGCGCTCCCCCCGAGGCGCACCCGTGGCTGGGGGGCCGGGCAGGGCCCTGCGGTGGGGCCGCTGGAGCCGGGCGCAGCCCCCTTCTCTCCTCCCCTCCCCGAGGCCGCCGAGCCAGCAGACCCCCACCGGCGTCTCGGCACTTGCACCAGGTGAAGTTTTCTGTGTATGTTTATATCTAATTCTGTTTAAACTGGCTAGAAAGTTTTGTCTCTTTGGTGAAGGATCTCAACATCAACAAAAAAAACAAAAAAAACCCCAATCAAACAACCCCCCCCCTCAAAAAAAAAAAAAAAAAAAAAAAAAAAAAAAAAAAAAAACCAAAAAAAACCACCAAACACCACAACTCTCAACGCAGGAACAGCACTGGCCCGCAAAGTTACTGCTGTGAAAGCTTTACGAGAGAGAAATTTGCCATGTAAATACATCAGACGCCACTGCAAATTCAATCCAGGAGCAGGGGAAAGCCGGTGATGTTTTGGATAACCCGTGGGAGGTGGGCATGTGTGGAAGAACCCCCTGTCGGTGTGACATCTTTGCTCTAGTCGCAGTTCGTTCAGGTGCAGAAGCTTATATTTTGATATAATACAAGTGGTGGCGTAAGGTGGGTTGACACTTTGGTGCCTAATGCCCTGTTGTTTCTTGGTTTCTGCAATATCCCCTTTACCAGAGTGCTTTAGAGATACCTCCCTCGGTGACAAGTAGCTCATGCTATACCATTTTTGTCCCTCGTGATTTAATAGCTAAGTTTTAATTTTGTCCAGAAGTCTCTAATCATCGTTACTCAGTTCAAGGCAATACTGAATACCTCAACTGAAAAATGAAAGACATTTTTTAACGTTAGGTCATCTCAAGCTAGAAAATTGGCATTTTGAGTATGTTCTGATAAACTTCAGTTGTAGTAAAATGCTGTAACAATTTTGGTTTGGAACTATAAGAAGGGATATCTTCTTTTTCTTTCTGAGTTTATTATCCGTAGAAATTAATTTTATCTGGTTTGCAATTACGTGTTTTTCTGTTTCATCTTTGTTTGTCAAATATAATGAAAATTAAGAGAGAGCTTACAAAGAAAGAAAACTTTTTGCATGTTTAGTATATTAGGTCTTTCATCTATTTTTACAGTAGCTGAACAAGCTCTGGTAGAAACATTTCTTACTGACTGTCCTCATTTAGGCCCAGCCAGCACCAGGCCACTCACTCACTCCTCCCCCTCCCCACAGCGGTATGGGGAGGGGAATCAGAAGAAAAAAAAAAAAAAGTGAAATCTCATGGGTTGAGATAATATAACAACACAAGAAGAGAAGAAAACGATAACAACAACAATACTAATAAAGCGAATATATAAAGGGATTGATGCACAGTGCAATTGCTCACCACTCAGTACCCCACATCAGTTCCCCCAGTTAGATCCTGAGCATGGCATCCAATGTCCCCTTGGCTGGTTCTGATACAGGGAAATGATCACCTGCTTTGCAACTTAGTTATTTATAGCAACTTACAGCAATTTATAATGATTTCTTAATAATCCTGCTTGCCCAGATTGTTCTGTGGAAACTTACCAAAGACTACTGTGTTCATCAAAACAAAGCTGTCTTCTGTGGAAACTTACCAAGAACTACAATGTTCAGCAAAAATAAAAAAACATGTCCTTGGAAAGCAGATGTGTTCTAAGAAGTTGAGTCTTTGTAGAATATAGATAGGCATATATGGACACTAGAAATTAGTATGCTAGTGCTTTTAGATAAGATAAAAGGAGTAAACCAGCTGGAACCAACCTTATTGTACAAGAAATTGGCTAAAAGAATCTGGGCATGCTCCAAGGAAAAGTACAAGGTGAAGGAGACTACGAGCCTTCCTCCCAAAGAGTCCCGAAGACAACCACCAGTAGGCAATGGGCAGGTGAAAAAATAACATAAACTGCTGACACCAGCCTTTTGAACTAACCCAGCCTTACTTCTGCATATGTATGTTTGTATTATGTAATCCAATTAACATATATATCTACACTCTACAAGTTTCTGGTAAAATGTGCTATTGGTGTGCCAGCTTTGTGGAGAAATACCCATGTACCCTGGTGCTGGAATAAACATACCTACTTTGTAACTCAGTCTCTGAGTTGTACCTGCCCTGGCTGTGCCCCCTCCCAGCTTCTTGTGAAAATTAACCCCATCCTAGCTGACCTCAGGACACTGATACATTTTTTTTAAGAGGCTTCAGTTACTTTTATTCACCTAAGGTATAACACTACATGTTATTTCAGGACTTGATCTTGTATATTAAACAAATGTTAATTAAATGTGTAGGTGTATTTGCCATGAATAGTATTGCTTGTTCGTAGAAGATAAAATGCTTTTGAGTATTTCAGAAGTTCATTTTCCTTTATACTTCTACTGATATTGTACATCCCACTTAATTTTAGAAATAACTTACTGCATTGTGTTGTGGTTTATTTTGGCAAATGACATTTTGGTAAGGTGACATAGCGCATTTATCTAGGTGGAGAAAACACCACTCCTAAGACGTGCTGTAATTTAGAATTTGCTTTTATTAGAGTGTTTTCTCCTTACATGCTGGCTCAACATAACCTGCCTGCACAATAATGACCAGAACAAACACTCTTTTGCAGTTCTTCAATGGTAATTTAACATGCCAGGCAAACTGGGGTCCTGCCAGCTGCTGGAAACAACATAAGAAGTATATAAATACTGTGTTTTTTTAAAAGTGAATGAATGAACAGATCCATCTGCTTCACTGCTGTCAGCACTGGGAGGACGGTGATCACCTAAGATCACAGTTTTTGTCAGACATTTGCTGTTTTTGCAGTGCCTCTATGTTAATGTCTTCGTCTTCTGTGACTAGCCCCACACCCCAATAACAGGATTAGCTGTAAATTCACATTCCACATGAGCCTTTCCCCCTCCTATTTTTTCTTTCCCTTTTCTTGGAAGTATCTAGCTTTTGATAAAGGCAACTATCATAAGCATAATGTGCCCTTTGGGCTTGTTACTATAGTTAAATGGATTCATCAATATCTTTTCCTTCTGAACTTGATACTAGAAACAATTGAAAGATAATCCTTATTAATAAAATGTTAAATATGGCCTCTTAATGGGAAAGGTGAGTGATAATGTGTAGTTAGATACAATTATATCTGACAGCATGACATTTTGGTACTTCCAAGACTTGTATTTATTATATAATGTTATTTTTTTGGTAATGGTTACTTTAATATCAATGCCTTGTTATCACACTAAAATGATTTAATTTCTGCAGTAGCCTTCATTAAAGTTTATATAATGAGCCTGGAAGACACACAAAACAATAAATATTGGATGAAGTAAAATGTTCCAATGTTTTTTGTTCTTCATAGGCTCTGGTCTCAATGATGGGCAGTGGCATGAAGTCCGATTCCTAGCAAAGGAAAATTTTGCTGTCCTCACCATTGATGGCGATGAAGCTTCAGCTGTTCGAACAAACAGCCCTCTACAGGTTAAGACTGGAGACAAGTATTTATTTGGAGGTAAAAAAATATCAAAACAAGTATCTGCTTAAAGTGATGTTGTCTCTTTATCTACATAATAGGTGAAATGGAGCTCAGGATGTAACTAATTCATGTAGATCTTAATATAGCTAAAATGGCTAGGTGCTGCTTATCAAAAAGTAAAATACTAGCTTTATTTCATTTTTAAGAATGTTTTTACACCTCTTCATCCTTGCAAAAAGAAACGCTAAAAAGTTCTGTACAACAGTCAGTCTAACTTGGAATGATTTCTCAGGTCATCTCTGAACATTTCAGAGACTATTCTCTGAAAGGGGAACCTTCCATTAGCAGTTTAATTAAATGGCCTGAGAAGAGAGATAAAACTATCTTTTGAAGTTTGGAATCCTGAAGACAAAAACCCAGCACTGTTCAGGACTGGTCTTAAGCTTTCACTAATTTCTTTAACGGCTGTTATGATTGTGGGTAATTAAGAAGGTCTCATAAATTGAAGCCTTAGATTGTTCAGTATTTCTATTGACAGTTCATATACTAAAAAGAGGTTTTGCAAATTGTAGCCTGAATGTTTATTCCTCTTGCTCTTCTATGTTAGCATTTATGAAAATCAAAAAAGCCCATCAGAACTCTTGGATTTTTTAAAATACATATTTAAATTTCTATAATAAAAAGGTTATTTCGCATGCCAAAAATATTTTTGATATGCTATCTCATAGGGGAAGGTTGTTAAGGGTTTTTTTAACTCAGACATATTACTTTTTCTACTGCTAGCCAGGTTTTTTAAAAAACATCCAATTCAGGAATGATCTGCAATCTTTTTTCAAGCAGAATTCTCAGCAAATTCAAATGCTTAGATGAAAAAAGAGTTGTAAGTTGTACTTTTGAAGTGTCCCACACATGTGGAGTTTCATATGTAAGCTTCAGGCAGAGAACACAGATTTTAAAAGTAGAATTTATCAGTGTTGAAAACTGTTTTTTTTTTTTTTTTTCAAACTTAAATGATGCATATCTAATCAAAATAAAATATAAATGTGATACTATAAATAATCATAATATTAGCCAAGTGATAGAAAAGTTAGTGGCATATGAAGTACCCTAGGTATAAGGGAAAAAATCCTTTCAAGGTTATTCTCATTTCATTATTACCAAATTCAAGTTGGTCTGTCACAACAGGTAAGCTTCCTGTTGCTGCAACATACATCTTTTCCAATATTCTTAATTCAGCTAAATATCCTGAATAGGTTGGGGGTATTTTAGCATATTTCTTCAAATAAGAGTTCTAGCATAGCAAATTGCCACATGCTAAAGCCTGAAAATTGTTTTGTTGTCAAAACATAGTACCTTCAATTTGTCAGAATAGTCTGAGACATTAAGTTATTAAGCACACATAGGAGAAAATGAAAAGAAATGCCATATATCGTCTGTTAAATTCTGTTGATTTTGATAGGTAAAATCCCCAGACCATTAATACATTTTTTGAGAGAGATTGATTTTTTTTTAAATGCCTTTTACCTCTGACTCTTTGGTTATGAGGGATAGATTTTCTTGTTTCTCCAGGTAGTTTTTATACCCTTTCTCGGTCAAAATATGTGTTGGTTTGTTATCATTTCAGGCCGATTCTGAAATCTGCTTGGTTTATAATTGTTAACCTCTAATTTATAATTCCACCATCCTTCCATAAAAATGAAGTGCACATGTAGATATTTTTAGGGTAATATGAAAGTCAATCATGAATTCCCTGAAGCGTTATTCCCACAGCTGTTCACCCAAATACATGGTCCCATTGCATAAAATACAGGGGGTTTGGTTTTCCTTATTATTTTATGTAATCTGAAAGGTCTTCTAAAGGTGTATCAAAAGAATAGCGGTGTCTTAATCTTCAGGTCCAATTTTATTTCAAAATAAGTCTACATTTGCAACACTGTACTTTTGCATTTCAACTATCTCAGCTGTGAATCTGAGGAAGCTTTATTTCTGACTTGGATCTGAGGAACGGATTTATTTTAATATGCTCACACATGGATATTGCTATATGTATGTTACTTTGTGATATATATGTTAATTAAAGATTACTTGCAACTTAAAGCCAGTATTTTGGATACATATTAGAAACGTAATTTTTATATTCACAATCTGCATTTTATGAGGCACAGGTATTTTTGTTCTATTCCCTCCACATATATGTGTTCTTCATTATTTTTCTTAGAAGTACTCCAATTTATGGCTCTTAATAAGCAATACTTGGAAGAAAAGGATGTAGAGGTGAGAACAGTGAAGAACTTCAAACATTTGCACCACCTGGTAATTGTCATCAAAAAAGATTTTTTCATTAGTTTCATTAGATGTAAATTCAGATAAAGTGTCAAATAAGTTTTTTCTGCAAATATGCATAATTGATTAGGAAAGGGACTACTGCCTCTTGAATTTGGAGGATAGTATGTTTCATTTTTGCAAACTGCTAGATGTCTAGCAGAAAGAATTATCAGTTTTTTTGGTGATGATAAATTTACAGTGTGAAGAAGAATCTGGTAGATTTCTTTGCTAGGGATAAGAATACAATAGCTAAAAGTTGTAGTATTTGACTATTAATTTGACTTTGTATTATTAAAATTTAAATGTATATCAGAGATGGAGAAGTTAAATTATCAGTTTTAAAGAGACCCATGTTATGAGAGTAATCCTATCCCACTTCTATGTTTCTTGATCTTACAAAACACTGAGAAAGCTCAGTCCATTAAATTTGTTTGGAGAGCTTGTACAGCATTTCTAGAAGGCTCTGAACAATCTTCTGATTTAAGTTTTCCCATTTCATCTTTGAAAGAGATACCACATGTATGCAAATGCTTTTTTCTGCAAACTTTCCCTTTCCCTGATTTCACAATAAGTGTGTCTCTCTATGTTCTGCTCTCTTGGTGTCAATATAGCAAACATATTCTATAGGCAATGGTGTTGTCTTTGATGAAGAAAAGATGTAAAGGTTGTATTTCAGCACTGCAGTACAATATTTTCTCAAAAATATATTGGAGAATTTAAAGAGAAAAGTAATTATAGTAAAACGGGTACTGCCTCAAAGTAGTAAGGTAGACACTTTTCTTTGAAAATAGCTACAGCTTTTACTGTAAGAGAAATACCACATATTTGAATGTGAATTTTGGAGATCAATGTCTATTTTTCATAAAAGTTATCATTTTCATATACTGTTGTCATAACTTTGCACTGGTGATATCCCATATTAGTTTTATAATAAAATAGACAATCTGTCAAAATTGGGAATGGATTAAAGATTGAGTGGGAAAGGAGAACATTACTATGCCAAACATAATGATAAAACATTCCAGACAAATCAGAAATATTAAACTGACTTTTACACGGATAGGTTTGCAGTGATATCTCAAAAAGTTCTTAATATTACTTACAGTATTAAAATAAAAAAATTGAATCAACAGTAAAGTTTTACTCTTAAGCCGGTATTCTTTATTAGCAGCGCTGGGGTCACCCAGGGGATTCTCCACCATAAGGGCTCCCAAGAAGTAGCGAGGGACATCAGTTTACATACACAAATGTCATACATATTCATTAGATTACCTGGAAAGGGGTGTCTTATGATAATAAGTTCCCAGAATTTATTTACCTAGTCCAAGCATGCCTAGTGAAAATAGAGTGAAGGTCTTTGGTGGTCGAGGGGGAAGTAAGTGGTCTTCTTCACAGTTTGCTAGTTGACCTTCTTTCCAAGAGCATGTGCTGTGAAGTAAAGTCCAGGTGCCTTCTTCCTAAGTCAGCAAAATCATCCTCCCTAGATAGAATCTGTGTCCTTTTGTTCAAGTCCCCCTTATCTTAGATTCCCATTTTAGGAGTTGCCCAAGTGTCCATTGAAGGCATTGTCTGCTGTCAGTGATTTACGTAGTGAGGGTTTTACTCTTGTCTAAGCAGACAAAGAGGCCTAGAGAAACAGTTAAAGAGTCCTTGGGAAACAAATGAAGCAAAACACAAGCAAAGCTTTCATGCATCACAGTTTAGTCTTAATTAATGTATGTCAGAAATTAATTTGTTTGAGCCCTTTCAGTATTCTGATTAGAACTTGATTATAACAGTCCAGTGTAACTATATAAATAACAGGGAGAAGACAGAGACGTCGGACGGTTGTGCTCTAATTCCTAGCATTAGAGATTTTGGCCCAGGCGGGAACAAACCTGTGAGTCAGAGTGCTCCCTCCCTCGGTGCATGCACATGGGTACAGTAAGGGTCAGTTGAACACGGTGTAGACACTGAAGGCGTTAACAAGAGAACAGCTCGTTTGGACACCGAGTGGTACACTGGGCCTGTACAGTCAGCCTCTCTGTCTAGTAACAGCCTCCCGCTACCAATTTGAGACAGTTGGCCTTTTAGAGAAGCCAGACCTGACACCCTCTCAGTTTCCCTCTAACTAGTTCTAAATGTGTTCTGGTTATTCCTTAGTTAATTCATTCATTTGAATAGAAATGCTTGGTATTGGCCACCAAACCCAGAGTTTTACAACATGTACAGCAATATTTGAATAAATGAGATGTAGAAATCAGACACTTCTGTGACTTCCGTCCATAGCACTAACTTTTCTAGTTTTGAAAAACTGTATGTAAATCATAAATCATGAGGACTCTTTATTTCTCTGTCAGAGAATAAATCATGTTCAGTACTGTTGCAGTATTATTTCTTTTTCTTCCTTTGTGCCTCGCCTGTACTGTTTCCCAGCACTACTAAGATCCTCTCAAGGGACAGACAGCAATGATGTTTTATTTAAGCCTAAGAGTTAGGCGAAGCTGTAGATCAGGCGTTCCTGTAGATTGTGTGAACTTGTGCTGCTGTATGTAGGAGGGTGGGTGCTAATTGCCTATTACCATTCTATATAACTATTCTTATCTCCCACCGGTTTTATTTCCTTCTTCTTCTTGTCTTGAATTTGGCTTTTTGGAAAGAAGTGAACTTCTTTTCCCTACTAAGCTCTAGAGAATGATGTTTCTTTGTTGTTTCCAATTATCTGCATAAAA